TGGGGCTATAGTGCTTCAGCAGTCCACACTGGGGTGGCACCAGCATTTCATGCAAACTCGCCTGTAAAAGCAGGCCATCTGGAAGCACTACTGAGTCAACTGGTTGTCAGGAATGCCAGAGGCTTCAGACATGGGTTGAGGGAGTGGAGGCGTGCAGCAGAAGTTGGTATTGAAGGTCTGCACTACCTGCTCATGCAATTTACTCCTACCTCCAGACCCATGTAAGTCCAATCTCTTATATACCATTTCCACCTTGCTGCTATGTATGGCCCACTTTAAAGCCTGGTGAGTCAGACAGCCCTCGGTCCATGATGAGAAGCCCAGAACACCAATAGTCACCTAATGTCCCCATGTTAGGTTTTCAGTCTCTACCAAGTTGCAGTTGCAAGCTAGAAGCTATTTATCTAAAGGAGAATAATTAGCAGTGAAGAAGGTCAACGATTTGCTTTAAAATTCTAGAGTTCTGAGTTGTGATTCTCCTATTAGTGCTCGGCAGAGGCTTCATACAGTGTCCCTACTGACAACAGACACAAGTATTACTTACACTAAGTGAGTGTTAAGTATTATTGCATCTCCTGGATCATAAGGTTCAAGTGTTAGAGCAGCTTACACGACAACCTCAACTCACTGCACAGTCTTCTGTTGACCTGGCCCACACTCCTTATCAGCAGCCTTATAGTTGATTCTGTAGAGTTGCATATTCAAATGTAGTATAACTTGCCCAGCCAAAAGCAATGCACCTTTTGTCTTTCACCTTGGAGTGAATATCTCAACATGCCCCACAAACTTCATTGATGTTGGGGACCCCTGAATTTTTGTGGGGTTTATCTCCYAGACATGTGTAGTTCACACATGTCTTACTAAAGTATCTTAAATACTTTCTATCTTCTCATCACATCCAATCTGCATATTGTCATCATTATAGTAGACCTGTGATATGTTCTTCAGGATGATGTGTGGACTATTATGATCACATACAGTAGGAGGACTGAGCTACCCCTGAGGCAAGACTTATAAGAGTGTACTGTTGGCCCTGCCAAGTAAAGACAGATGTTTCTTGCAAGCTGATATGGAGGAAAAGGCAATATCAAGGTCAATAGCAGCATACCTAAAGCAAAGGTCATGTTAACTGGTTCAGTAAAAGTAGTATATCTGGGACAGCAGCTGCTTTGGCATCACCACCTGAATGAATTTACAATAATCCACAGTTATTCTCCAAAATCCATTTGACTTCTTCACACGTCAACAATGAATCAGATGGAACTGTGATAGGTATTATCATCCAATTTTCCAAGTTTTTGGCTATGGCATTAACTTCCAAAATTCCCCCTGGGGATGTGGAATTGATGCTGTTTACCATCTTAGTAGCAAGGGGAAGTTCCAGGATTTCCACTTAGCCTTTCCTACCAACTCGCCATCAGTCTATAGGCCAGAGAGTCAATATGGGTTTTCTGCACATTGCAAAATACGTCTAATCCAGTTATGTGGTCAGGAACTGTGGCTATAATCATAGAGTAAAACTATGAGACAACTGCAACTCAACCTTGAGCTATGATTCTCTCTCACCTGACCAGTGTAAGTCCTCGATTTTGCAGATGCTCCACAGTGGTAGTTTAGGTTCCTGAGGATTAGCCTCAGTTCTGAGCCAGAGTCCAGTGACCCCTAAAAGGTCTGGGTATTTATACTTCTCATCATGTAGTCTTTCTAGTAAAAAATGAAGAGTTGGAGGAAATTTTAAACTATATACTTGTGTCAGTGGTGGGATATCCTCCCTTGAGCAGACCTGGCCTCCTCTTCAATTAAGAGATTTCAGCCTGTGCTATAACTTAGGTCTGGAAACTAGGTGGCAGACAACGTCTGTCCACTTTGGGAATTCAGGTCGAGTTTTTGGCTACTAAACTGAGGTTTCTTATTTTTTTTTTGTATTAGATAGATCAATAATTTAATAGGGGACTTATCTATTTCACACCTAGAGATATAAGGGTAACTTCTAAAGATCCCTATAGGCCAGGTTTGTTTTTAAAATTACTGAAATATCCCTACTGCTCTATGGAGTTGATGTGCCCACCTTTGCCAACTACGTGCTGCCACTTGGCCTTATCACCTTCACAAAAAATCATGGAGCCCAATACAGTGGTGGCATCCATATGGTCATACCTCCCTTACAAAGGAGAGAGCACATACAGAGCTCTGCAGGATATTGAGAAATACTTTATAGTGAATACTATTCCTTCCCAACAGATGCCTTAACATTCACAGGAGAAACTTGCAAGAACACAAGCTGAACTAACATTGTAAATGTGCCCACAGGGAGATGTTAATACTTAGAGAAAGGAGTATCTTCTGGGCCTTCTTGAGGGACATAGCTTTTATGTTCAGGAACAAGTCAAGGTCATAAATGATAAATCTAGTCCAACAATTCTCCCTCTTGACTTTGGGCTTCCTCTTCCACATCATGCTTTAGCATCTCAATAGTATTAACTATAGACCACCGTTGAGTTAAAGTTTCAGTAAATCCAACCAACTAGTTGCTAAGAGTCACCTCCAGATGGATGAGTCGACACAGTAAGTCTGCAAGTCCATCTCTTGTAAGCGTGTCCACATGAATTAATTAGGCTTGATCTAATATTACGTACTCCTTTCCTTAGATTAGAACACTTAGAATCTACTTCCACATTTGTTTCCCAGGTTTCTGCTAATACATATTAGCAAAATCTTCTAATTCTTTTGGAGTGCAAACTATTCTCTCCTGTATGATAGTGTGTAAAGGCCCAACTACTGCACTGACATTTGAATCTAGATATGGGACTAGGGGCAATGGGACAGAAAGAGGGGCAATGGGTTGTGGTGAGTCTTGTGGAGAAGGAACCTCCCTTTTCCAATTATTTGGCCAAGGTAAGGGTTTCATAGCATTTTCAAGCAAAGAATGAGTAGTCTCCTCTGCCATAGTAATAAAGCTACTTTCCACAGTCAACAAAGAATCAGGTGAATTGGATGTTCAAGACTGTCAATTATCTGTGTCCAAGCAGAGTCCTTAGTTCAAGTTTGGAGGTTCCATTCCTTCCCAACTGATGCCTTAAYTTTCACAAAAGAAACTTGCAAGTCCATAAACTGAATTAACATTGTAAATGAGTTCAAGGGTGATATCACATACTGCTGGCCACTGTGCACTGAAGATTTCAGCTGAGAGGAGCACAGTAGAAATAGGAACAAGAGCCCCTTCTTATTTTAGTGTTCTTCCTGTATCCTCTGTTGGTGAAGCTTACTGCCCATTGGGCCAAATGACAAGGGAGAAACATTCTAGTGTTCTGAACCAGGCAATGAGGAGTGAGTTTGAAGCTGAGGATCAATGGGTTCATCCATAGTACATCTGGTCTTCATTCCTCTCGGATGGTCTCTACCACCACCCTATGATGAAAACACAAGTACTGCAAATAGAAATGAGGAAAAGAGACCAAAACGAGGACATCCAGACCAGAAAGACCATCTTCCTAATACTATATACTTACCTGTATCTGGGATGACCAATCATCTGTTTGCTCAGGACTGACCGGTAATTAACACTTAAAGTCCTGTATCCTGAGAAACCCCTTAGTCCCAAACAAATTGGACTGATTTCTAATGCTACAAGTGTCCCAGACGTTTTCTAACTTTCTGTGCACCAGAACCATCTTGTGCATAGCTAATAATACATGCATGTGATTTTTTTTAAATGCAGTGATTTCAGATGCAAACAGGCCATGGATTGATTTTTGAAAAACATTCAACTTGGAGGCTGAACAAGTGTTAATGATTACTTGTAGGGACTCCTCAATCCAGACTTCTTCCTGTTCCAAAACTATAATCATCGAAAAGAACAAAATAACATCCTTTGGGAGCTATAGCCAAGGTTCCTAAGCCAGCAGACATTGACAAATTACTAGTTGATAGAGGGGAAAAGATAAAAAAAAATACTGTCAGGCCTCCCTCTCCTTTCAATTTTAAGATAAATCATTTTCTCTTCAATGTCAGAAAGCATAACAAAGAGAAATAGATGCTGTGAAAATTGGACTTGACAGTAGCAACAATATGGGTACAATTATAGGGTACACTGAGCTTCCTGCAGGTAACCACTATCTAGTATCAGGTATCCGAACATGGACCACGTTCGGATAGCTAACTTAAATTCAGTGCTATGTTTACTGCTTTCACATCTTAAGTGCATGGCTTAACACAGCCACTTTTAAGAGGCAAGAGCGCAGATGGAGTGAAGAGAAGACACCCTTCTTTAACACTTTTTAGTTTTATTGAATTTCTGTTGTTTTCCAGGCACTGTACTAAAGTCTTTAAAAACATCACTTCATTTAATTCTCCCAACAGTAACCATGCCCATTTAGAAAAAGAAGTGGAGTATCAGCCCCAGGTGATATACACCTACGAAGTGGTGGCATTTGGACTGGAATTTAGGTCTGTTCACTCGGGCAAACCTTGCTTAACGCTGTAGAGCAGAGACCAACAAGGCGTGATCCCAGGTCCGGTCGTCAATGCTACGATCCAGGCAAGTCCAGGCTGCAATGTGAACATAGAGGACGCGCATCTTAGGCTTTCACTGTTTCAGGACAAAACGCAGATCCGTTGGTTGGGCGCACTATGACCTGGTACTCCAAGTCCCTCGCTCTCCCAACGGCTGCGCTGGGACGCGGTCACTCTTTCCGCATCTCCAGTTTCGAGGAGTTCACGTCCCCAGGACCTGGGCTTAGAAGGCGTGTCTTCACTTCCTCCCTCGACAGACCCCGTCCTCCCGCACCCAAGCACCTTCAATCCCTGCCCTCAGCTTCAACCCGGTTCAGCTTCTTCTGCGCCTCGGCCCTCCAGGCGCAGGGCACGTGGAGCTACCCGGATTCCGAGCCGGGCACCGGAAGCGGCCGCGTTGGCCCKTGACGTCTGAAGGAAGTGCATGACGCCGCGTCCTGTGGTTGGTAGATGCCTGAGTCKGTGCTTCATTCTTAAGGTTCCCCGTCGGACCACAGGCTGCGGAGGGTCAGGCACCCGGGCGCTGCTTTTAGGCGGAGCGACTTTGGATCTCCGAGCCGCGCTCCGCCCGCAGGTGTTCTCTCCGAGCTTTCCGCTGGGGGGTCTCGGGCTGGGGGTGTGAGGGCCGCCCCTGAGGTCCKTTACTGGGTGGCCGCTGGGACACATCCTGGGCTTCCTTAAGGAGAAGGGTCTAGATTAGGGAAAGGAACCAGCCCTGATCCAGGACAAGGCTCGCTTAATCCGCACCCCAACGTAAGGGGGGTGTGTGTATTGATTTCTCTGTTTACTGAGGAAGAAGCGGGCTCAGAAAGGGGCAGTCATCTGTCACAGGTTATGCCGCTGGGAACTGACAGATGTGGTTGGAGCGAGTCCTGGCAGGCCCCAGAGTGCCTGCAGAAGGAGCCTTGAGCTTTCTCTGCACAGGGATCCCGGGCTGGAGGCTAACAGGCAGATTTGGGACGCCACAGTGGAGTGACTGTGGGGTTGGGGATCTGGAATATGATTTTTCAGCAGTTGGCCCCTGACAAATCACATSCTTCCCTGTGCTCGGAGTGTGCGGGTGAAGCAGGCCATGGCCCCTTTGGGGATGACAGCTAGTTGTTGTGTTAAGATTTTAAGGCCTTAATTCAGAGAAAATGCCAAACAGGGACACGCATCTCGTGGGACTAGAGAACTGGTTTTAATTATGTCATGTACTCCTATAGGCAAATGGCAACCCCTATCATCTCCCTACTTATTAAAGGAAGTAATTTTTATCATCTAGGAGAAATTGTTAAACGTAAGATTCCTGAGCCCAGCTCAGCTCTATTGAATCTGAACGTTTGGGGCATGGGACCTGGGAATCTGTAAGCTAAACAAGCTATACAATGAACTTGTTACTTTATTTACAGAACTTGAGATGTGAACCTTTTTAAGACCCTTAAAGAAGCGAGTTATAGATTCAGAACATGTGGCCTGACATCCTTTGTTTTCCTTTTTTGTAGCTGTGAATRCTTCTGTACAATGGGTTAAGCTTTTATTGACAAAAATATCAAGACAGTGTTACTGGCTGTTATGAGGTGGATTTTTTTCAATTAAAGAYTGGAACTTATTTAAATTTTAATATTAATATACCCACTATTAATTTCCTCAACTGTACATACATACTGGCACATTATCTGCAGTGTTTTTATTTTTTTATTTTTAGTTGTAGTTGGACATAATACCTTTATTTTATTTATTTATTTTTATGTGGTGCTGAGGATCTAACCCAGGGCCTTGCATCTGCTAGGCGAGTGCTCTACCACTGAGCCACAACCGCAGCCCTACAGTGTTTTTTTTATAAAGAATAACACCTTTATCTATCCTAAATCAGATTTTTCTGGAGGCAGGCCATAGATATTTTTAATTTTTTTAATATACTGGATTTTTTTTTTGGTACCAGGGATTGAACCCACTGAGTCACATCCTCAGCCCCTTTTTATATTTTAGATATAGGGTTCCCCTAAGTTGCTTAGGGCCTGGCTAAGTTGCTKAGGCTGGCTTTGAACTTGTGATCCTCTTGCCTCAGCCTCCCAAGCTGATGGGATTATAGGTGTGTTCCACCACACCTGGCCATACTGGAGATTGAACCCGGTGGTGCTCCACCACATCTCCAGCACCCACTTCCCACCTTTAAGGCAGAGTCTTTCTGAGTTGCCTAGATTGGCCTTGAACCTGCTTCAGCCTCTTGAGTAACTGGGATTACAACACGTGCATACCATTGTGCCCTGATTTTCTTTTTAAATTTTATTTTTAACTGACTAATGATAATTGTATATCGGATACATATTGATGTTTCAATATRTGTTTACATTATAGAATGATTAAATCAAGCTAATAAATTTATCACCTAATAAACTTATCATATTTGTGGTAAAAACATTTAAAATTGATTCTTAGCAGTTTTGAAATGTACAGTCACCATTTCATGTATTAGATTACTAACASTCCTCTTGTCTAAATGAAACATTGTACCCTATGACCATTGTCTTTCATTTCCCCCTTCTGTCCCTGTCTCCTAGCCACTAATAATCACCATCTACTCTTTACTTTTATGAGTTTGACAGATTCTACACCAGTATTTGTCTTTCTATGCCTGTCTTATTCACATAGCATGAAGTCCTCCAGGTTCATTTGCCATGGGTGTTTTTTGTTTTGTTTTTGTTTTGGGTACCACAGATTGAACCCCGGGGCACTTTACCGCTGAGCCACATCCTCAGCCTTTTTTAATTTTGAGACTGGGTCTTGCTAAATTGCTCGGGGCCTCACTAAGTTGCTGAGGCTAGCTTTGAACTTGTGATCCTTATGSCCCAGACTCCCTAGCCACAGGGATTTACAGGCATGCTCCACTGTGTCTGGCCCGMGGGTGCTTTTAATAAGCTTCTAGGGATGCTTGATAATGGAATATGGAAATGTACTTGGAAACTGAATCTTAGCCTATTTCTCAACGTCCATATAGGGGACAATGGRAGTATTACAGCTTCCTTATGTAATTTGTGATAGTTCCTGGTTTTAGAATTTCTTAATATGCATGTCTGAAAGAAGTAAAAGTACTATGATGAGCTTCCAAAGGATAAGTGAGCAGTCCCAAGTGACTTAGTAGGCTCCTTGGTTGAGATGTTGTGATGACAGAAATGGATTTATGTAGAAACTCTGATTGTTATTGAGCCATCTCTTTTGCCTGAGAGGATTATAATTACCTCTTAATAGGATAAGCTTTCACAATCCTAACTAAAAGTGCTTTTTTTTTTTTTAACAGCTATCTTTGTGTGGTCTATATCAGGAATGAAATCATCTGAAAGCTCAGAGCAGAAACCTTTTTGGTCAACATGGAAGACAAAAGAAGGCGAGCCCGAGTGCAGGGAGCCTGGGCTGCCCCTGCCCAGAGCCAGGCTGCTGCGAAGCCAGGCAAGAACCTGTAGGACTTGTGGGGGGGTGGGGGTGTTCATGGGTGTGGACAGCTATCATCCTCTTTTTTTATATATCCTTTTGGCTTATAATAAACTCCCATTTCAGTTGATGTTAAGGAATTGTTTAAAACATAGCTGGCATTTTGTCTGATTTTGTTTATGATGAGCTAAAGGTCAGTCTTTAGTGTTCCTCATATTTAGTCAGTACCTCAAACCCTTCACAGTGTGCAAGGTCTTCTATTGACTTTACCAATTAATTTGTGATGTCATAGATATTGTCTCCAAGTGGGTTTTATTGGTCCTTACCCAGCAGAAGTTTATGGGAACGGACTTTTCCTTGGCTTAAGGTGATCCTTCTCCTATTTCAGCTACCACTRCTAGGAGCCATCTCCATCAGACTTCTAGTCAGACCTGGAGGAACAAGGAGCCTCATCTGTCTGACAGAGAGTTTGTGTTTAGAGAACCTCAGCAGGTAAAGTCTTGTTTCTCCTTCAACAGTAACAAACATAGCAGGGACTCAGATAGTGACTGAATAAATTTACTAATGAAGAACAGAGCAAAAATTCTATAATAATTAAGGAATGTGAAATATTTCAGTTCCCTCATATGTCTGAGGATTATTTGTATTCTTCCCTAGTTTATGGTCATATGTTATCTCCCCACCCTTTTTTTTGGCAGGGAGACTGTTCCATTAGTAGATGGGTGAACTTACGCCATGATTTGGGCTTGCGTGGGTAATATGAGTTCTCACAATTCTAAACCATGCTGTCTCCAGTGATACTACAGCAGATGTCTTTGGAATTGAATTGAAATTTTATTTATTGTAGCAAAATGCTTGAGTCTCTTCTGAAAAAAGAGTAGGTTCACTTTTTAATGTTTCTCTTACTTATTTTTTTTTCTTTTTTGCTGTGCTGGGGATTGATTGCAGGACCTTGCACATGTTAGGCAAGTGATCTATATCCCAGTTCTCACTTTTTAATAATATGGGGGGAAAAGGAGTTAAAAATCAGGCATCTTGCTAGAGTAATGATTGCAAAAATAGTTACAAATGTCCTTATTTTATGATGTCTTCTTTTTTTTTTAATCTCCTTTATGTAAAGAAGGTTTTTCCAGATCTGCTGGCCAGTGGGAAAATTGATTAATTCTAATTGTATTTTTCTGTCTGCTAGTAAATCTTCTTCTTTGAAGAGTGGAATTGAGGATCTCTGATGGGATAGTGAGAGGTGGGAATAAAAAAGGGATAGTTATAAACCTGATTTATTTTGACCAGAAATGAGAAGATGTGGTGAATGAGTCTCCTTGAGGATTAGGAATCACTCAAGAATTAAAATCTGCCTGTTTCCTTGCAGGTAGTAYGTAGAGCCCCAGAACCACGAGTGATTGAGTAAGTAACTTGCTGCCTTCCTGTAATTGTTGCCCACAATGAAAGGGAGAACCCAGGATCTTTCCCTCACTCTGAACTTTCTAGCTGGATGAGAATGGCCCAATAAGTGTCTTAAGTTTAGGCTGGAATGTGTCCATCTCAGATGTCTTTGAACTTGATCTTTTGGGAGAACTTTCTGAATCTGCTGATCATATGGAAAATGCAACAAGACCTCAGTACATTAAATTTTGATTCTGGTATAGATTTCCTGGCTGTATTTCACTGATATCTGCCGACAGTAAGCTAAAACATCTCTTGCTAAAGACAGAGGGGAATTTTTTCTGAGTCATCTGACCATGGCTTTTTGAGAAGTCTTGAAGTACCATTTTACTAGTTGTGCTCATGAGAGCTGCTAGCAGTCCAGATGACCTTACACGCCCATTTATTAAAACCACATGATTGTTTCATAGCAATTTAAATGATACTAAATATTCCTCTTGTATTGATCTGTGTCAAAAATGGTTCTTATCCAAAATTGGAGAGAGTTGCTTTGCCTTCTCTCCTGGTTCTCAGTTTCCATCTGATATAAATAAATTGTCAATAAAACCTATCCTGGGCTGGGGTTGTGGCTCAGCCGTAGAGTGCTTGCCTAGCAAGTGCGAGGCCCTAGGTCAATCCTCAGCACCACATAAAAATAAACAAAATAAAGATATTGTGTCCAACTAAAATAAAAAATTAAAAAAAAATAAAACCTATCCTTTCATTTTAGCAAATTAGCTTTAAGTGTGTGTTCTTACCCATGAGCCATCTGTTAGGTTATTTGGCTATTTCAGTTTGGCTTGCCAAACTGAAATAGCCAAATAACATAACATAACATAGAAGAATTTGAAACTAACACAAATGTCAACATACTTCAAGGAAAATATCTAGTCTTCACTTTGTCACTAGTTAACTTTATAACTAATCCTGAGTTAAGTTCTTCCCATCTCTCTGGATTTTAGTTTCCTTATCTGTAAAATTAAGAATTTGGATTGCATATCACTCAAGGCTTAATCTAGTTCTAATGGTCTTTGATTTAAAAAAAAAATTAGTATACCACTTCCTTCATTGACGATAAAGGGAATAAGCAAAACCCATTCCAAATGGGACATTCAGGCTGAAAAAAAAAATAGGTAATTGTCAGTTTGTAAGTCAAGAGAAGGATGACAAAATCCATTCCTGTTTGCTCTAGGGTTTGTTAATTCTTGTTATCTAAAGTTAACTTTGCAAAATTTTATATTTTTAATAATCAGAAATGTGTTCCATATTAAGGGTGAGCCAGTTTCTAAATATAAGCCAAAATATATCATATTAAAACTTGTATTCACTCTCATACACCAGGAGATATGTAGATAATTTACAGAAATGTGGCATTATTGTATAGACTGTATAGGTAATTTCTTTATTTTTGGCTTAAAGGGTCTGTAAGAGATCAGAGATCATGAACCACTAACTCCTATAACAGAAGGTGATATTGAAACCTGACCCTTTGCATATTCTCTGTAAGAAGGATCTGACACAGTTGTCTTGATTGATGGACCTGTCCAGTCTGGGCTGTTTTTCCAGGTCTAGCACACCCTGCGCATCTGCAACATTTCTATACTTTTCCACATTTGATTTATTTCAGTAAACTTTTTTGCCCATCTGCTATGTGCAGGCAATAGGGAACTATACCATCCCACTCCTTGTTCCCAAGGGACTGTCATCTAGAAAATGGAATAGACATGTAAACAAATTATAATCTTGTACATGGTAGAACAGTAGGTAGGTATGTGTGTACTAATACTAGTCACAGGATGAGATTGATAACAGTATTTGTATGGATTCAAGATCAGGAATTGTTTATAGGTGATGCTGAGTGAAATTTTTGAAGGGTAAATTATAATTTTCCAGGGTACCAAAGCTGAAGATGGTTTGGGTTAGCGATGCTGGATGGCAGGAAGGCCTTCCAACACGCATGGGCTTAGAAATGCAGCCACATGTACGTTCAGCAGATTCCAACAGTCAGTTRTTGCTGGAGGATAATGAGTCTGTGGGAGCTTTCAGAGAGGAAGTCAGATCATGAAGACCTTGAAGGCAATTTTGGGCAGCCATTAAAGGAATTTACTCTGAGGAGAAACCACATTAACGTGTCTTTGAAAGCAATAGAAGCACAGAGCCCCAGGATGTGCTTGTTATTTACAGGATGTAAATAAACCCTATTCCAAATTCTCCAAAGGGAAGATACCCCATTTCTTTGTGTCTATTGATAACCTTTTGTGTAATGGATTCCAGGCTAAATTACGGGTGAAATATGAAAGAGAATGAGAATTGATTTTGTTCCACTTTTGTYTCCGTGGGCTGACCCTGTCGGCGTTCTGTTCACAGTGCTGTTAATGATGTACCACCACCTTGCTGTTTATCTCAGTGGTAGAGGAAGGTGGGGTTGTGCCTCCCTCCTAGTGCTCTCTGGTTATGTGATTTTAGTGAGCCAGAGTTTAAGACTCCAGAGGATAGCCCTTCCCCCATGCCTCGTGCTAACACCTCTCTTTCCTTTGTTTCTTTAGCAAGGAGGGTGTGTATGAAATCAGCCTGGCACCCACAGGTGTATCTAGGTAAGTGACTCCTTACTTGAAAGGGACTGTAATTATCACCAGGTTATAATCTGTTAAAACAGACTTGTAATTTCTGCACTTTAAGTTCTTGGGGAATAAGAATTTTGTAACATATAATATTCTAGTGTGAAAATATTTTCATAGTCTCYCTGTCAGATATATAGTCACTATTACTACCCCAGCTTCTCAGATGAGGAACAGAAGCCTCGAGAGATTGAGTCCTTTTATAGCTGCGTAGTAACTTCATTTTAGAGTTGGGTTTAGTCTATCCTTGGCTTCTCTGCTGTGAGTGCTGCATTATATTATTATTGTATTATTTTTTGTGAATTACTTACAAATACTAATTATATAGTATTACATGTCATTTATATTGCTACATTAGGGTGGGTTTCAGTAGTTAAAGTACAAGACATTAGCTATTATTTTAAAAACATTTTGAAAATCTCACCTTAATGCATAAGCCCGCTAATTGTCACTATAAAATTAATGAAACATTCAAAACAAATATAGCAGAGCTTACACATCTAAGTGAGTTGCTTAGAGGATCTTCTGCTAGACTTGGAAGTCTCTAAAAAGTTCATTGGCACTGTTGTCATTATCACCCTGCTTGGAACCTCCCCTTTTAAGCAAAGTTAACAGCTACACAGAAACAGTTGCATTACTTTGGTTACAGCTTATTGTTAATTTGTTGTGGCTTCAGGTGAATTTTGAATAATGGAATGCACCTTCAGAGTGAAGATTGGCTGCCACCAAGGCTCTTCAAGAGACTATCCCATGGGCTTTCAGAACATTTCTTTGGAAAGATACACAAAATGATTTTGAGCTAAATTGGCATTGTTGAAATAAACATGCATTCAGTGAGAGAAAGGATCCTCATTTGCATCTGTTTATTTTGATAATGACATTAATGATCTCTGTCTTTCCGTGTAATTGGCATAGTCTCTTAAAAGACCACTAGTTGTTAAACTAAAGACGAGTATGATCTTTGGGTTGTAAATGAGAAAACCAAGCTTCAGGAGAGTTAACTAACTTTCCCAGGATTTCACAGCTAAAAAACATGCTGATAATTTCTGGCCTTTAAATTCTTGGTATTTTTATTTGGTAATACTCAAATTCTGAGTTGTGTTTGAATCAGTCTGTAGAAGCTCTCATGTATCCCTTCATTTGGCTTAACATGGAAGGAGTTTATTTTATATCTGGAGCATTGTGACCTGGGTGATATTAGCCTTTGCTTGCTATGCAGGGGCGAAATGACTTCATCTACCCATAGGAGGGAGGATCCAGGTGAACACTGCTCAGGGTTAGACATCTAACCCATCTTTTCCATGTTCTTTAGCTAATAGCAGTTCTTTCTGCCTCAAGGGTGTGCTTGTATCCTGGCTTCCTTGACTTGAAAGAAGCTGACTGGATGTTGGAACAGCTTTGCCGGGACGTCCCCTGGAAACAGAGGATGGGCATCAGAGAGGGTGAGTAGATCTGCGAGGCGACAGTGGCACTGCCTTGGTCTCCCTCAGAGTGTTTTCCACTGTCTCTGCCTCTGCTCACCACAGCCAGTCTTAAACAGAGATTTGACCTGACACCCTGAGGAGGAGCAGGAAATAGCTAGTCACAGGGGACAGGAATACTCCAGGCAGAAGAGACTCTGGTGAAGGCCCAGAGATCAGGGAGGCCATGGTGAGAGCACAAGGGGCCAAGGGAGGCTGGGTTGCCTGCACTGCTGACACACTCCCTTTATGTTGGTTTCTCCCTCTGTTACTTCCAGAGATGCTAGCTTCCTTCTTTCTTCATGGAGGCGTCCAGAGTTTTCTTTTTTTTCTGATCCTATTTGGCATACGTTTTTTTTCCATTTACTCTTATTGACTTTTAATTTTCATTTTACTTTCACCAGAAGATCCAGTTTCTTCTGGTTTCAGCATCAGCACTCACTGAACTTGTGAAGCTGAAGCAGAATTTATTACCTGACCTGGAGCCTGTCCTTCCTCTGTAGGCAGCCACAGCCAACGCTGCCTGTTATGCCACAGATGGTCACTGGGGGTCGTCTGTGCTCTAGYGCGGTGTTTCCTTCCTGGTACATTGTGTGAATTTAAATTTTCTGTAAAGAAAGAGGCAATGTATCCTGACTTCATTTTTGTTATTCACACATCAGAACAGGAGTTAGCTTTTATGGGGCAGCTTTCTCCCAAATCCCAGGAGTTTCTACAGCACAGCTTTGGTTGCRTACCATACTTGCTCTGTCATTCAAAGTAATTGTTAATTTTAAACAAATTATAGTTAAGTAACTCTCTAATCCTTGGTTTTTATATCTTTAAGTTGAGCTAATAATAATAATACCTGTCTTATATGGTGGTTGTGTTAATTAAATGAGATAAGGCATGACAAACGCTTAACAGAATGCCTGGTACATAGTGAGTAGGCCTTTGCCAAGGTTAGCTGTCTTGTTTGTTTGTTTTGGCATTGAGGCTTAAACTCGGGACTTTGCCCCTGCTGAACATACACTTTACTGGTGAGCTGCGTCTCTAGTGCTGCTGCTGCTTTCTGTGGTTGTAATTGATATTAGTTGTGGGAAAAACAGCAGATCTATAGATAGCTTCCTCTCTAAATAAACTCAAACATCAAAAACTTCTGGCTAAAGCCAGCTGTATGGTACAGTTGATCAGAACCCTTTTCCTTTATTTGGAATCAAAAGGGCTTGTGCAGTGTTGAACACAGGGGTGATTGCTTTGCCTTGTTTCTCTCATGGACATTGGTGCCACAAATTCCTGCTTGCAAGGGTCCAGGCTCCATATCTTGCCTTTTGAGACTCTTGTTTATGTCATCACTGAAACAAACAAGTCACAGTTCTCATCTCAGAGCCTTTGCTCAGGCTGTTTCTGCTATTGTGCCTTCTCTGTCTCGTCTTCCTTGCTAGCCCTACCCACCCGTCCTACTCACCAAAGCCTAACTAACATGTCCATGATGCTGGAACCTGGGTCAGAGCCCATCCCTCTCTTCCTCTGTGTTTCTCCTGACCACTTGCACATTGCAAGGCCTATAGTTGACRCACAGTAGGTACACCTTGAATAGCACTAAACCATCTCAAGAGCCCTGTATTTTCTCTCTTAGATATAACTTATCCACAACCAAGACTTACAGCATGGTATGGAGAACTTCCGTACACTTATTCAAGAATCACTATGGAACCAAATCCTCACGTATGTTGAAATATTGTCCTTGGTGTAATTTTATAGACTATCTATTGTAAGTTTTGAGAACTATAGAGTAACAATAAGCTGTCTTGCAAAGGTACAGGAGGGTTACTAGTTCATAAAATCCTCTGGGTTTAAAATTGAGACTTTGTGCTTGTCATCCTTGATCCATAGATGAATTCAGGATGAGTGAAAACTGGAACTAGAGTAAGCTGGAACTGGAGTCCAGGATTTCAGAACATGAACTATTTCTCCTGATACCTCCCTACCCAGGCTTTCTGGCTGTAACTCTTCTGTGTACACCCTGCTACACATTTGTTGTGTGGCTATATCCTTCTGCCTAGCCAGTGAGGTTAGAATGTCTTTTTCCATCTCTCAGACTTCTTTGCTATTTATGAAAAAAAATCTGACTTTTTAAATTTTTGTTAACTTTGTATTCATTCTATGCCTATATTTCCTCAGACTTCCAACTTATTACCACTTTGGCTTGTTTCTGCTGCTTTTTTGGTTTTTAAAAATTTCCATGACAGTAGACAAAGATATTTTAGTATATAAATTAAACTCGTCCAGCGGATGGAATTAAGATCCAAGAAATAACTCCCTGTTTAGTTCCTGGAATCTTGCCTTTGGCAAATAATGTTATGCTTTATTGAAAGAGACTGAAGAAAATGGAGTTTTGCTTGTGGCATTTGTATACAGAAATGTGACACATTTTGGAACTTATGGTAATACGTAAACACAAACCACCAATTTACTAAAATGTTCACAGATAAAACATTGTCTGGGATATTTTTTACAAAAGAGATATGCTTTGGTTCCTAGGGCTGTATTTAGAATGTGACCTAAGAAAGTGTCGAGACCCTTTATAACTGAGGTTGATTTGGAAACATGGAGAGACTTGAATTAGGCCAGTCCAACATACACCACTACCCTTGTTTTTGTCAGAATTAATTACCTTCTTGTCAACAGTCACAGCTGAAGTTGGGGATTAACCTGGCTGTCGGGAAGAAGCTCTTTTTCACTCTAGTTGATCTTTAAAACAGGGTTTTTCAACCTCAGTGCTGCTGACATTTTGGACTGGATAATTCTTTGATGCAGGGCTGTCTTGAGCATTGTAGGATGTGTAGCGGTGTCCATGACCAATGGCTCCTCTCACACTATCATGACAACCAAAGTGACTCCAGACCTTGCCATACATCTGCTGAGGCATAACTGCCCTGATGAAGAAGCACCATTTCAAAGTAAATGTGTCATATGAGATTTGCTGAATAGAGTTTCTTATTGTCTTTCACYCTGGGGGACTTTTAATTTTTTTTGACAACCCTTCAAAATAATTTTGTATGACAAATCTTTTTTAAACAATGTAATGTGTGCTTATTATTTGAAATGAAGAAACTTAAAATAACATAAAGGAGAGTTCTAAAATTTTTGTATTTTTTTTCCCACCTGGTGTTTTAGTTCCAGTCTTTTTTACTTTAGGCAAAGATATGTAGAGGAATTTTTCTATCAAAATAAGATCAATTGTGCTGGGATTGTGGCTCAGCGGTAGAGCTTTCGCCTAACACGGGTGGGACCCGGGTTCGATCCTCAGCACCACATAAAAATAAAGGCATTGTGTTGTGTCCATCTACACCTAAAAAATAAATATTAAAAAAATACATTAAAAAAAAGATCAATTATGTCTACTCTGTTCCATTTAGCTATATATCATTAACATTCTTTAGTGCCATTAAATATTCTTCACCATATTTAAAAGCTGCATGATGTTCCATAACTTATTTTAAGCAAGCTACTTTTGTTGGATATTAAGATTATCATATTGGAATTCTTTAATCTGGAATKTTTTGTTAATAGATTTAGTTTATTTATATACTGTCTTGAAGTTGCCCCTTTCTCTGTTATTTTTTTTAAAGGAGGATTCACAGTGTATATGCATGTCGGGGTACATTTTAAATTTAGAAATCATTATGACCTCAAGCTTAACATCCAATGGGAAAGAGTCAGGTTCAGTCATATGTTTTTAATTTTGTTTTATAAGATTTGTTCCAAATAAATCTTATGTGGACCCAGTGGGTAAACCAGATCCAAGCACTGACTGGCTGAGAATGCCACCATCTTGGTTACCCCTTCTCATACTGTAGACTCTGACCACCTTCCTGGTACCTAGGACTCTGCAAAACATTGTTTGAAATCTTTTTCCTCTGTGATTTTTGTTTTCTCATACTCTTTTTCTCAAATGTCTTTTAAGGATAGAATGTCTTCACTGAACAGTGAGATGACGCTGAATTTTAATTTAGACATTCAGTTCTGAAGGATCTGTATATAGAGTATTGGTTAAAGAGTCTAAATTAATCCTCTAGTTCATTATCCCCGTTTTTCTCCCTTTCTATCTACTTCAACTACCAGAAATAACCAAGAAAAAAATATATACCCACTTCAAAATGTAATGCAAACTTGATGTTATCACAGTGCTTAGCCCCAAAAGTAAATCAGGGAGGTGCTAATTAGATTCACAGTCACATTATAGAAACACTACCTTTCTCCTTTATATCTTGGTTTTCTTATTCTAGTATCTGATCTTTAGCTCCATGAAGATAAGTTTAAAGCTGTAAAATAAATAGGAATTACAGATTACTGACATTATTTTTGGAATTTCACTTTGGAATTTGTTCTCTTGAACATAGGTTAGTTTAATAACATTTTTGTTGTATTGATCCAAGTTTTCTTTGTTGTCACTGTTTATTTTTTAAAATGCTCTGCTTAGGATATAATGCTGATAACTATAACAAGGACACCCACCTTCAAACATGGTTTCCATTTCAATGAGCGATGCTCACATATGCTTCCCTGGCACTTTTACCTGACAGTAACCATGTGACATACTTAATAATGTTGTGCTTGCCTTTGCCAAACACCTGTTCTGTCAGTACCAAACATGTACACAGACATTTGAGGAGTTCTTCAGAGTCACAGTTCTTGAGGAATAAGCTTTGGATCTCTGGAAAGTAGTCCATGAAACCTTTTATGGGGGATMTTCAATAGTATTATTATTATTATAATGTTGTTGTGCTGGGGATTGAACCCAGGGCTATGTGCATACAAGGCACATACTACAAACTGAGCTATATACCCAGCCCCAATAGTATTATTTTTAAAATAATATAAGACTATTCAGTGTTTACACTGTTTTGATTTGCACTGATGTTACAAAAGTGCTAGAGAATAAAATTGGTGGCACTGTAGCATGAATTAAGTAAGCATTGTCACCTAGCTATACTGGTAGTCATTGTGTTCTTCACCACCGTGCACTTCCAGTTTAAAGTTTAAAAAATGCTGATTTCATTTAAGAATTTCCCTTCATGATGAGTAGACATTATTAGTTTTCTTAAATCTTGGCTTTTGAGTGCATGTCTTCCTACTAGTTGGATGAAATTGAAAGTACACACAAAGCACCTGCTACAAACCAGAAAGCATTTGTTTGAGCTTAAAGCTGAACTAGCTGCTTTTTTTCATGGGCTATTATTATTTAGAAGAACAATAAGAAACAGACTGGTTATTCAGACTTGAGTGCTTGGTATCTATTTCCTCATAAATGAATGAAGTCGGTGTCACTTCAAGGAAAACAACAAACAGGATTTATTACTAATGATAGAAGTTGAACTTGGACAAGAATTAGAACTTTGAAAAACTGGTATCCATTACTTTAAGCCTGACTTCTTCCTATTACTTAGACTTTTCTGACGAGGTCAGTATAGTATTAATGGATGTGAGTTTTGTTGTTGTATAATGAAATGTTTCAATGTCTAGAAAATCTGTATAGTAACTCAGTTGAACTAGTATTTTCCATATGATCCTGGGGAATGTTATGAAATAATATTGGGTTAAAGATTTCATTCAAAGTGCAAGCTGGACCAGTAGATTTAAATGCAAAAGAATACAAAAAGTTTGCTGGGTGTGGTGGTGCAAACTTGTAATCCCAGAGGCTTGGTAGGCTGAGGCAGGAGGATCGCAAGTTCAAAGCCAGCCTCAGCAAAAGTGAGGTGCTAAGCAACTAGTGAGACCCTATCTCTAAATAAAATACAAATATAGGACTGAGGATGTAGCTCAGTGGTTGAATGCCCGTCATTTCAATTCTTGGTATCCCCTAGCCCCCCCCCAAAAAAAAAAACAAACAACAACAAAAAAGAACTCAAAAAGTTTAAAATGGTTTCAGATGCCACATTATTTGAAAGAACTGTAAACTACATATTTGGGTGAAGCTAATTTTTTTTTTCATGTACTTCAATGAAAATAACATTTTAACATACTGAATACAGAATCATAAAAGAAGAATTATCTTACTTCTATTGTCAGACATTTTAGAGATTTATAAAACAATTTTTTGCATTAYAAATTATAGTTATTTTTATAACAGAATATTTATATTAACATGTAATGGATTTGTTATTGTACTTTAAATAAATTAATCAATAATTTAATCTTTTTCTTTCTTTCTTTCTCTCTCTTTCTTTCTTTGGAATTGAACCCAGCACCTCACACATGCTAGGCAAACATTSTACCACAGAGCCATATTCCCAGATCATCAGTCTTAATTTTTAATATGGTAAATATCAATAGCAGTAATCTATATAAACAAAAGTTCTTTGGGGTCCTCAATAATTTTGATAGGATAAAGCTTAAAAAACACTGTCCTAAAGTACCTATAGAACCCTTGAGATTTCTGGAAGTTAAGGAATTCTAGCAAAAATTCAAAACAGTGCAAATTCCAGTGCAAGTTTAAAATAGTGCAAACACTGAATAGTCTTATATTGTTTTAAAAATAATACTATTGGGGATGGGGATATAGCTCAGTTTGTAGAGTGCGAGCCTTGCATGCACATAGCCCTGGGTTCAATCCTCAGCATGACAAGCTTCACATAGGAGCTTCCTGTGGAAAGTGTAGCCCCTGACAGTTCTAAATACGCACTACCTCAGTGAACTCAGGGCACAGGAGGCAGGGCTGTGGTATCCCATGAAGTCTGCTGGAGTTTACAGCCCTTACAATGTTCAGGGCAGGTCATGATTCCTATTCTGTAGAAAAGAATTTTTTCCCCTCCAGGTTCTGTTTTTAGGAAGTTAGCCACTCGAAGTATTAAATGTCTTTTTTTAAAAGCAACTCTGCCCTTGAGAATCAAGTAAGAATAGATTGAACAGAGGGACATCCAGTGAGGAGTTCTTTCCCTCCTCAGACTTCTGTCTGGGTTTGTGCTACTTGGCTGCCCATCAGCTTCTTTGCTTCACTTGCCACCCTGATAACTTACCACAGGAACTGCCCTGAATATGTTGACATTTGCTTTTTGGTGAGGGCCATGTATTTAACACCAGAGAGATGAGGTGGGTAGAGAGGCCCTGGTTTTGACATTGCTGTACCAAATTTAGTACTTTTACAACATTCCACAGGTTAACTTGCTTCAAAATTAAAATGATGGAAGGAAATTAGGCTAACTCTTCTTGCTTACTGTTTACTCCATTCCGTGTGGTTTGCTTATTCCATGCCCCCATTTATAACTTGACCTGTTTGCCCTTTCTTTCTTTTTCCATGTGGCTGCCATCTCGTGCCTGTGAAACTGCCTCTGCACTGTCCTTGACCTGTTGACTACAGTGGCCTCCTGTGCTGAGCACCCTGAAGAACCGCATTGAGGGGAACACTGGCCACACCTTCAACTCCTTACTCTGCAATCTTTATCGGAACGAGAAGGACAGTGTGGACTGGCACAGCGATGATGAACCTTCACTAGGGAGGTGCCCCGTCATCGCTTCACTCAGTTTTGGCGCCACACGCACATTTGAGATGAGAAAGAAGCCCCCACCTGTAAGTATTTCTTTTTTGTCTCACCCTGCCTCCTATTACTCTGTGAAGAAAGTAGAGCTCCTAGAAGCTCCTATCTGCAGACAGAGAAGATACAAGTGTGGGTGTTGCTGAGAAAACATGTTCAACTGATTGCTTGCCCATAGTAAGCTTCTGGCCTCCAGAGTGCCCGCTTGTTCATTTACATATCCAACAGGAATGCCTGCACCATCTCGGTGTTGGGGGTCATGTCCATTGACTGAAAGAACTGACAGTCCTGTCCTCATGGAGATGCATTTAGTRGAGGTAGAAGATGTTGCTAATTACGCAAATAATTGCAATTGTGGTAAATGCTATGATGGAGGGCTTACAGGGTAACTCAAGCTCGTGGAGCAAGAAGGGAAAGTAAAGAGCTTCAGGAAAGATRCCCCTGAAGAAGCCTTCATTTTAAATGCTCTTCATGACAGCCCAGGCCTTGTGCCGCGAGAGAGTGTCACATGCACCTTTGTTCCTCCTAAGCCTTCTCCTGAAAGATTCATGAACCTCTCTTTTGGAGAGAGGAAACTAAAAGCCAGATTACCAGAGGTTATCATCTAAATTCACTTAGAAAAGCAGTGACTGAACTGTGTGATGATTTCAGTTTCTCATCCAGCTCTTACCTCACTTGCATGAAATTTGATACTAGGGCTATTAATTTTTTTTTTTTTTTTTTTTGGTGCTGGGGATTAAACCCAGGGCCTCCCACATGATAAGCGTGCACTATACTACTGAGCTACACACACTGCCAGCCCTAAGTTTTTAAAATCAAAAGTGTAGAACTCAAGACAAAGATACAGAAGTAGCAGGGACTCCAAGAAAAGAGTAAACTTCCACCACATTATCTTATTTCCAGGGTTTGTGTCTCTTCTTAACCAAGGATCCTGATTATTCAGCTTGCATCATTAAACCAGACCCAGTCAACTGTGGAGGCCAGTAGGCTGATTTTTGAACATGACCTAATCTAGGCCACATCCTTATTAGTCACTCAGTGCTGAGTCTGTTCTTCATCAGATATACTTCTCTAAGAATACAATTAAGGGGCCCTGGGCTGCCTTCCTGGGGTGTATTGGGTTCCATGCTGTGGGTATTTTGGAGCATATTGAGTTATTCTGAATGTATGCCAATAAGCACTTTTATTGGTATAATTTCCATTAATTAGTTTTTCTTTGCTTTTGTTTACATAGAAACTTTGGTTATGGTTGGCAGGGAATTGTGTCTTGCCAGTGTCTTATCAGCTTGTTCCCTTAGCACTTGAATAGACTTTACATTGTCACTGGCAAGCAGCCTCCATGTACCTAGGAGTGCCACTTGAGAATCAAGCTCCCCAGCCTTTGCTGTATTCTTGTTAGATTTGGTTGTGTTTGTGTACAGAGCACTCACTCAGTTAAATCCCAGATTCATGCTTGTGAAGAATTCATCTTGCCCTTGAGATGATTCCTGTTTTATGAATCACAGAGAAACACTGTGTGTCTCATTATTTAAGTTAAGACCTTCTCAAACTAGACGCATGAACACCATCATGCTGCCAGGCATGGTCTTGGAAGCTAGGCTTACCTTCCTTCTGCAGCTGTCCTTCCAGCCTTCTGATTGGCACATAAGCTTCAGGAATGTCATCTTTAGTATAATCCTTGTCTTTAGTGCTTCACAGTTATTTTCTTTGTTGCTAAGTATTTAAGTATTCATTCACTGTTTCTTTACACACAGACAGTCAGTACCACCACCCCTTTGGGGAAAAATGTGGGGCCTATTTATAGATTGGAGCTTAAAAATTCCTAAAGTATGCCTTCTGGGTAGTTAGTTTTACCATACAAGCAGTTTCCTACTACTAAGCATTAACAATGTTCTGGTGCCCAGAAACACCCCTTTCTTTCTCCTCTTCAGGCAGTAGAAGCTCTTCATTTTCTCACATAAAAACCTAATACGTGGCAATCAATAGCTATTTCTTGGTAATATACTTAAGTTATGTGACAGGTTAATGTGTGCACAGAGACCATTAAAACCATATACAACATTGTTTCTGTGGATAATCACTTAGAACAAAGAGAGAGACTGCCATTACTAAGGCTTTCTCTTTCTTAGATTTCTTGGAGTTTATTTTTAGAAACACCAGTGAAAGTATAGTACATAAAACACTCAAAAAGTGCCAAAGTCCCMTTCATTGTCTCCCAGTAGCAAGGAATCTGCACCATATATGGAAGCTGATTTGATGAAATATAAATCTAACAAATCAGACAATTTGTCTGAGGTCTTGAAACAATGCTTGCTGAGGAAAGGGTTGGAGAAGATATATAAAGATGTCAGTACCTCACATTGTTGGCTGTAGGAACTTTCAGCTTCTRGCCTAGTCCTAATTCTCATTGAATGTGTCACAATTTTCATGTATCTTCTGAATTCTCTCTTTTGTTTAAGATGGGGAAAGTTGATATATAATCACTCATCAGTGAATACRCCTCAGATGCTCATTCTTGGGTAAACAGGACACAAGTTTAAGTATGCGAAAAGACTCCTTCAGACTTCATTAATAGATTCCAAAAATCTGGGGCTTCACCAGTGTCACTAAACTAGAATGGCAGAAGCTTTTCTTTAAGTTGGCAGCCATTAGAGTATATATCTTCAGTGATCCTTTTGAAGGGAAATGGTTATTGCAAATCATTGTCTACTCTCTAAACTCAGATGATAGCTCTGGGAACGTAACTCTTGATTCATACTACCCAAGGTAAAGCATAAATTCAAAAGTATAAATTAGTTTAATCTTCTGTGTGGGCTTTGTAGGAGTCTGACTTTCTGTAACTCTTAGAGATCTATCACAGAACGCTGCCATAGGTTGTAATTGTCATGTCTGTCAACAAGACACTTTTGAGGTACCTTAAAGGTTGTGGGAGGGACTCTTTCAGACTCTTATTCACTTTGCTCTGTCAGATAAGCTCAAATCTCTTTGATTTGAGTCACAGTTTCTCATCTGAAGCTATCAGAGAAGTCACAAGATTCTCTGCACTTCATGCAGTATGCGGTTTTGAAACAAAATCATTTGTTTTGGGCTACTTTCAAAGAGAAATAATCTTGAGTTTTTAAAAATTCAAACTCCTCCTCCTCTGCAGCAGCTGCTGTTTTGACATCTGGTACCTTGAGTAGATCTCTGTAGCTGCTGATCTTCTAAGAGCTGGCCCAGTTCCATACACTGTATTCTTCACGATTTCTCCCCGTGCTGAGATGGGAAGGCAACCTTTGTTTCCTAGGTGTCAGCACCCCACCCCCATTTCATGCATTTGGCTGAGTCTGAGTCCTGCATATATCATCCCTGGGTTTAACATCTCTCTCCCTCAAGGTGCCCACCCTTTTTTCACTATTCTGTGTCCTAGTCTATAAACTCTTGCTCATTTATTTTGATTTTAGAGAAAGTTTCCATTTCCTCTAATAATAGTAAGGTACTTGGGGGCTGGTAGACTTGTTTGATCTTGTTCTTTCATTTACCCCATCCCTTCTGTTGTGTAGTTAAATTGGAGGCTGAGGGTAGAGTACCATACCCATATCCTGGCCATTGCTTGGCTATCCCACTTTAAGACCAAAGTAAATCTTACCAGATATTCTTCACTTCACCTTTTTTATTCTATAAGGTTGGGTTTGTGAGAGCTTGCCTACACTTCTTGTCTCAAACCTGGTTGTACTTTTCAAACTACATCRTGTCCTTGTTTGCAAAGATTCACCTGGTTCTTTTCCCAACTAATACTAATTCTACACAGAAGAACAAACTGCAAAAGGAACTACAAAAGCCATTTGGCAGGCTGCTATTTCTCTGTCGGTTACCATGGAAACTGATGGCTGAGTGGGGGGGTTATTAGATAATAGCAGGAAGTTTGTGATGCACTGGAGGTTTAGATGCCAAAAGCCTTATTTTTCTAGCAAATTATCCTGGATGAGCTCTTTCCTTTACCAGCATCTTGTATGTGACTATGAGAGGCTTCTTTCCACCCCTAGCTGATTGAGCTCAGGCCGGCTGGGCCTTTCTCCCACCGCTCCTCTCCCAAATGCCTTCTGAAGGAAGGGTCCTGTTCATCTCACCAGAGCAGATAGCTGTAAAAGCAGGTCTAGTGGTGGAGACCTGCTGCCTCCCTTGCTTTTTCTTTTATGTTTTGTGTTCTGCACACTGCTGAGAAGAATGGAGTAAAAAAAAAAAAAAAAAAAAAAGCCCTGATCATAAATATTGATGTTTTTTCCTTGGACTCTAGAAAAAATTAGGATATTGAAATCCAAAATAATAGGGTATAGAATAGCTTTCCTGTGGAAACTGGATAAGCCAGGCTTGTGCAGCATTTCACGGTGAGGCGGCAGCCCCTGCTGCTGCACCCTGCCACCCATCGCACCCTCTGATTACAGCATCTGTTCTGAGGAGTCACGAGAAACACTCAAAAGAAACTGTTGATAACCACGGTCCTTTTAACCATTCCCTAATGAAATTTAGAAAATCAAGTTTTATTTCCTGTTTCTGTCCCTGAGGTTGGTAAAAAGCACTTATCTGCCTCATTTATATTTATTCCTTTTTGTAAATGGAAATGATAATTGGTAGCCACTTCATGGGAGTGATCAAAAAATTTTCTCATGAAAATTCCTGTAGTAGTCAGTGAATTTTTAAGCTGTTATAAATGGTAGATACCATGGTGACCTATCAGAAATTGAAAAAGGAAATGAATTCAGTGAAATAGGCTCCAAGTTCTCTTGGTCGAGAAGTATAATGGAATCTCAGGGAATTTGAAGCGGTCTGTGGGTCAGAAATAGTGATGGAGCTTTGTGGCTACTATCTCTAGGGCTGTCTCATTAGATATCACTGGAGCTACCTCATTGGAGGGTGTGAGTGAGTAAATGAGCGTGTGTGTATGTGTGTGTGTTGTATAAGTGGATAGTCTTGGTATGTCTTGAGTTACCTTCAGACTTGAGATTTCTTGGGAGTTGAAATTACCATTTGCTTCCTCAGGGCCTTGTCTCAGCCT